CAATTACCCCCAAAATCTATCCCAGCATTCCCTTTGTGATATGGAACCTTGTGGTACAATGTCAGAGAGATCCATACACTAACACACAAGTTATGTCTGGAAGTTACAAAAATGCTTATTTTTGGCCCCTTTTTGGCCCCTAATTCCTTAACTGTTGGTACCATAACCCCCAAAATCAATCCCAACCTTCCTTTTGTGGTATTGAACCTTATGGTAAAATTTCATAGAGATCTATTCACTTAAACTAAAGCTAGAGTGCGAAAACCAATGTGTCTTTGGACGACGACGACGACGACGACGACGCCAACGTCATACCAATATACGATCGCAAAATTTACCTGTAATACATAGATTACATTCATTAAAATCCAAATGGTCACAACAGACTCAGACATAGCAAACAAGTTGTGATATGTAAACACAGTAAGATTGTGCCAAAGGGACATCACCGTCATAAAAACGAAAATTAAATAAAAAGGGAACAAAAAATTGTTCTTTTTGTTGTAAATTTTTGTGTAGAGTCTGCCCTGTAAAACTGAAATATCTAAATCTAGAAAAGGACAGTTATTACCTTTTATATTTGATTTATTTAAGTTAAGTTCCTTTGGGTAAATTTCAGCAGCTTTTTCAAAAAATTCATGATTATTTAAAGAAATATTTGACGAAATATATCATCAAGATAACAGTAAGTGTTGTTGAATTTATCAATTAAATGCAATTTAAACGGGTCTTTACCGAGTTTAGTCATAAACTGTGATTCATAATTACAGTACAACAAGTCTGCTATTAAAGAGGTGCAGTTGGTGCCCATAGGAATACCTATAACCTGTCAATAAACCTAATTGGCGAAATGTATATAAATGTTATCAAGGAGAAAATTAACAGCTTCAATCATCTCATCACACCTCCAGTAAGTATATCTAGCATATTAACCTTTCTTATTAGAGAAGAAGGCTTTAAATGAGTTGCAGCAAATATATTTGCAATCAGATTTTCAAAACGACTGTTTCATTAAATAGGAAAACTTTTGTTTGATAAGATTGTGTGAAAGTGAAGTGTAAAGAGTTGAAAAGTCAAAACTGTCAACAGAATCAAAAAGACCAGCAAAAGCATGTAATTCATCTAATAAATCTGAAGACTTTTTAACACTCTAAAAATAGTTAATTCCACTATTTTCATATGTTTTATTACAAAAGTTAATGATAAGTTTTTGATAGTAGTTAAGGAACTAGTTAAAAGCAATGAAAGATTAGTTGTAGAACAGTTACAAGAGGCCAATATGAAACACTATTTTATTGGTTTTCTATGTAGTTTAGGTAACCAATACATAGTAGGGACCTCAAATGTTCAGAAGAGGCCTTAAGCTGTGATGTGGTTATGATATAATTGTTTACTATATGGCTCTCTGTGGAGCGCACAGACTTGAATTTAGAAGAATTTAAAATTTCATTCTTAAGAACTTCTGTGTGGTAATTACGGCATACCACCACCACATTGTTGGTTGCTTTGTCAGCTGGTACAAACACAAATCACTTTGCGAGAACTTGAAGTTTGTTTCTTATTCTAGAAATAGGGGTATTACAAAAGTATGTACTCTTTTATTTATTTTTAAATTATTTTCAAAATGTGATATTATATATATTCAAATATCCAAAACATTCATACATTTATTTAAATAAGAATCAAGAGATTTTTTATCAGATTTCCCCTTTAACCCTTATTTTTAAAATACGATGAAAGAGCATCTTTAATGACCTGATGACATTGTTTCCAATCTATTTTAGATGGAGGACAATATTTTGGTCCTTTTTTCAAAAAATTTTTAACCTCTTGGTATTGAATGGTATTGAGGTCCCCTGTAATAACACGGCCATAGGGATCATATCGAAAATTTGACAATTCTCAGTCTAAAAATCAGAGGTTATTATTTTTTACACTCATCTGATGTTACGGACTTATGATTAAAAAGAAAACTTCTGCTGGGTTTTTTGTATGCATACGAAATAATAGGTGGTTCTGTGTTATCGAAATAGAGATAGGTATAAAATTTTGAATGGTAGAGTCATTAAATATACTCGATAACTTGATAAAATCAATACCTCTGTTATTATATTAAATTTACTGGCAAAACAAGACCAATTGCTGCATACTTAAACAGACAAGGATACAAAGTTCTAAAACTGGCAACTTTGTTCATTGTCTGCCTAAATGTCATGTCTTTACATTCTTTCACTAACAGTGTCCTCAGTTTGCTGATAGAATGGTTTCAGCATCAACAGCAAGTTGTTAAATAAAACTTTGAATGTCATCATTGCTTCACAGAGAAATTACAGGAAACAATAAAAAAAAGTTTATTTGTGTTAATTACAGAAGTAGTCAATGAAGAATACCTGACATACAAACATACGGATGACATATTTGGCAATAACCTGTTTGGAAGTTAATGCTGACATTTTATTTCATGACAATTAACTATTTTTTTTAAATACATCCCTGTCCGATTTATTTATAACGCTTCATAATTGTAAAAATCCTATATTGCTGAAGTGAAAGAAATTTAGTCCCACTTGTGTAAAAAAAACGGCAAATGAATCCGCTACACTTAAGCTTGTGACCCATTGAAATAAAAATAGAACAACACAAGTTTATTCAAAACAATATTTCCGTAAATAACTACATATGTTTTGAAAGTTTTTCTATCAAATCTTTTAAATATTTCATAAGACACGTCTTTTTCTCGACCCGGTACCGGAGGCGGCGATGTGTATTCTTTGATAAAATCAATCAACCGCGACTAATCTAAAAATAACTGATTGTTGTGACCAATCAAAAAATAATTCATTGATGTAAATATGGCTGATAAAAAAACTGCGAAACTTTATTAAAAAAAAAGTTTTGTCCATTCTCGGTGAAATAACGTTAGTTTTATTTTATAATACCAGAGACTATATCAAATTTTAAATTTCTACTTTTTAAAGATCACAGTAAAATAACGATGTCAAACACCCGTTTTATTATTCGTGTGTTTCTTTGTCCTATATATTCTCCCATTTATTTGTATTGTGGTCCTGTCATGTGATGTTGTCCTTTTGGTGTTGTGTTTGACGTTGCCATTAAAACCAGGTTCAACTCATCATTTTTTTCTTAAAATGTCCTGTACCAAGTCAGGAAAATGGCCATTGTTATATTATAGTTCGTTTCTGTGTGTGTTACATTTTTAATGTTGTGTTTTTGTTCTGTCGGTGTTCTCCTCTTATATTTGATGCGTTTCCCTCAGTTTTAGTTCGTAACCCGGATTTGTTTTTATCTCTATCGATTTATGAGTTTCGAACAGCAGTATACTACTGTTGCCTTTATTTAAGGTGAAATTTATACTGGAAAAGGTTAAACTTTTTATTTAGCACAGAAAGATATGCATTGGAGATTAGTCTGACTATTTATTTATCAGCTAACTGGCAACTTCTATTATGTAACAGAAGTCTTGATGTATAACCAACTAATCAAGAAGGTTGTAAAATTCCAGCATGCATGACGTGATGCATCAATTATCAGTCAGATGAGTTTAAAACATCTGTTGAGTGTTGTCACTTGTCACTTCACTTTCATAATATATCGATGATAAATATTTTACACAGTTATAATTTTCACACATAGTGGGATGCATTGCGGCAATGATGAAAGCATGGCGGTCAAAATTATGCATAGCGGTACTGCAAAGCTTGAATAGCCTAGGGAAAACACTGTAGTCTATCTATAGTCTGGTACATTGTATGCTCTTTCTTTTACTAACTTTGAGTTAACTTTTAAATTTCATCTGATGAATGATAAGGATTGATTTGCTTTTTCTGCTGATTGTTGTACATCATGTATAGGTTTGTTCAATTTGAGATTTGAAGAAAGTGTAATGCCTATACATTTTGCTATTTGTAGTTGTTCCAGGATATGACCATGCATGTTGTAATAGAAATGTATTTGTTTTTTCTTTGATGAGACTCTAAGGATGTTTTACATTTGTCTGGTTGGAATGACATGAGCCAGTCTTTTCCCCATTTTATAGCTGCTTCGATGTCTGCCTGAAGCTCAATGCGATCGTTTTGGTGGGTAAAAGGCTGTTAATTATGATGCTGTTGTCTGCAAAGTGTCTAATTTGGCTGTGTTTTAGGTAGTCGTTAATGTGAGAAAGAGTATTGGTCCAAGTTCTGCGAACCAGAAGAGTTGACACCTAAGCCTTATCTACAAGTTGTAAATATGTGGAGTTGTAGTCATCATACATAACCCGGTAGGTCTTTTCACCACCGAACACCGCCAAATACCACCGAACACCCCAAAAATTAATTTTTTTAACTCTTATTGTTATAAATGTGACCTAAATATAATATTTAAGTCATTAATTCAACAAATAATAAGGTTAAGAGAACAAATATCTACATCGATCAGAAAAGGAGAGTCTATAACACTACAACTCTGAAAACCACCACTGGACACCTCAAATAATTTTTTTTCTTCATTTTTTTCTTCTTTTATAAAATAGTTGTACCAATAACAAGAAAAGAGACATGAACAAATGGTAAATATTTCGGGTAACTATTATCCTTAATCAGTAATTGATGTCAAATGATTCTTATACTCACACAATGTAATCCGGAAAATAGTGATGAATCCGGAGACGTTTTTCTTTATATGGATTATATTGATAATCGACTTTAACAGAAAAATGATGCATATAAACATCTATAAAAAAAGTTAAATTAAACGTAATTTAATTGATTTTAGGTATACCGTTTTATTGTATAAAATCACTGATTTTCTCAGTGGTTGATGTTTTTTTTGGGGGTGTTCGGCGGTGTTCAGTGGTGTGCGGTGGTGTTCGGTGGTGAAAAGACCCACCCTACATAAACCGGAGTGCTCTTTCTTGTACTTTTTCTAATTTTGTGGTATTTTTTTCAGGGCAAAAATGCCAAGCCAAGGGGCAAAAAGACTTATATCCGAGTTGCGCCAACCTGTTAAGGAGAGCTTCAGCAGAAATCTTTTCAAGCAGATCTGCTTAAGTATCAACGTTCTTTGGTGCAAGCATCTGTTAAAGATATCGTGACAGAAAATGCATTGATTTCTTTTTTCAATAAAAAAAATCCCGGAAGTATCTAATCTAAAAGCTTGTACATTATCGGGATGGACTTGATCAGTTCACTTCCGGTACTCAAAGATGTTTTGAAAGTGCAGGCAATGGAAAATAGTGGTTTAACTGAAGGAGATTCTGTGTAAGGAACCTTAGTTCTGGCGTAAACAAAGAAGAACATTCAGTTTTTTCTTATTCACCAATATTTATAAGAATCCAGGACTCTATTAATTATACTTCTTTATATTCTTAAAGGAAGCAAGACAACTCTCCCCACTGGCACTGCCAAATCCCCCACTTGTCCAACAATCCGCCCAACTCTTGTTTACCAACTCACCCAACTTAAGAAAAAGGGTAATATCCCGCTATATTTAGTCCTGCCAACTCGCCCCACTTATGAAAAAGGGTAAAAAACCAATGAATAAAGGTCTGCAGTTTCTATGACCTGATCACTAAACTGCATGAAGAGTTGCAACTACAATGGACTACCTATCCAGATTAAGTTAGAGCCTGAAGGTAAGCTTACTGACTACCAGAGTAAGCAAGCCCGCACTAACCAAGCCATCCTCTTCAACATTTTGGAGCAGTACCAGGGCTTGAAAATAACGCTTGTCCGATTGTCCGGTACTAGTCCAAATAATTATGACGTCTTGAAAGGCTATTTTAATTGGAAGGCGTCACAGAAAAAAATTAAAATAGCCTTTAAAGACGTCATAATTATTTGGACTAGTCCGGTACCAGAGGAAAAAAAGGTTGGACAAGTAAAAGTCGCATCAAGCTTTTCCAACGGGACAAGTAAAATCATTCTGTAGAAAATAAATTAAATCCAACTTTGATGATCAAAGTAGTAAACAAAAAACTAGAAAAGGAGATAAAAACAAATATTAATTTTTTGACATGTTTACTTGCGATCGATAATTTAAAACTGGTTCTTTGTCAGATAAAAGGCATACTTTTCTGGGAAACCAGTCTTAGTTACCAATCGGAATCAGTGGTGCACTTTAATATTAGGTTACAAGACAGTTTGGGACTGGCACAGAAACGAATCGGTTCCATGTTTTATAGACAGTTTGGTACTGTTGGAGACATTTCGGGACCATCACATGATCAGTGTCTTCCCTAGAAAATTTTTCATGCATGGTGAATTTGCAACGCGGCGCGTGACGCTTCTTTTCAGAATTAGTTACACTACATAATATTTATGTTTAAAGCCATATACCAATCTAATCTAATTGTTTTATTATATGTACAGCAATTCATATAATTCATGGAACTTAAAAGTATTTATCACAGACATGACAGATGAGAGGAATTAATGAAAGACCTTATAAACAATAATAAAAAAAAATGCAGCCTGCAATAGTTATTTACAATTTAATATCATGTACACATTATTTTCTTGATAATTTCCTCTGTTTCAACTTTCCAAAGGTCACCACACATTTTTCAAAATCAAAATCTTCCTCCTTTGGTCCTTCAATATATGCATTAAGCAATTCAGCACTTTTTGACATAGTCTGTTTCTCAACTTCAGGGCTTTGCTCATGGTGTTGATTTTTATCTGTCTGACTACAATTTGATGAAGGAGTAGACTTTTCTGAGTCTTCTCTAACCAACTTGTCAAAAAAGTTGGGCCAGTAAGGCGACGTTTCTTTGATGGTTGCTTGGACATGGTTGTTTAAATGATTGATGATTGTTCTTCGAATTTTGCTTATAGAATGATTTCAGCATCAACAGCAAGTTGTTAAATAAAACTTTGAATGTCATCATTGCTTCACAGAGATTTTACAGGAAACAATATTATAAAAAAAATTATTTGCGTTAATTACAGAAGTCGTCAAATAAGAATATCTGACCTACTGACATACAGATGACATATTTGGCAATTACCTGTTTGGAAGCTAAGCTAACATTTTATTTCATGACAATTAACTATTTTTTTAAATACATCCCTGTCCGATTTATTTATAACGCTTCATAATTGTAAAAATCCAATCTTGCCGAAGTGAAATAAATTATATTAAGCCCCACATGTGTATAAAAAACGGCAAATGAATCCGCTACACTTAAGCTTGTGACCCATTGAAATACAAATAGAACAACACAAGTTTATTAAAAACTATTTCCGTAAATAACTACGTTTTTTTGAAATTTTTTTATGAAATCTTTTAAATATTTCATTACACACGTTTTTTTCTCGGCCCGGTGGTGGTGATGTGTATTCTTTGATATAATCAATCAACCTTACCTTACCGCTGAATCTTTCTCCATCCTTCAGGACAACCTCTTAGAAGAGTACAATAGTATATATGACCCTCCACTATCCAGAATATCATACAAATATATATATACAGTTTATATACAAGTCTGCAATTGTTTGTTTAATTGTTATCACTAGTTCTGTTAAATCAGTTTAATACTCAATCAGTATACACTTATTTTGAATGTTTCTTCTGCATACTTAAGGTTCTAGCTCTTATACTATGCAGTGCATAGCACAATTTTCTGGATATTAGTTCACATAGTTGTTCTGTTTTTCTATCCAATAATAAATCTGAATTCTGATGTCTAAGTTTAGTACAATCCATAATTAATTGTGTCTGAGTATTTGCAGACAATTTATAAAAGGAAATGGACGCATCTTTAAGTATATTATCTTCAATTTGATTTATGAAGGGACATCTTATAGGTTTTAGAACCTTACATTTTAATAGTAGATGTTCAATGTCTTCGTCTTCCTCATCACAGAGTTTACATAAAGGAGATTCACTTTTTGTAAAGCTAGCACGTTTGTTTTATGTCATAAAAGTTCCAGTGACTAATTTAAGTTTGATCGCAATCGATAGCGCACCTTTTGACAGATTATTGCAATTGTCATTATTGAGATCAATAATTAGATGATTTTTTCTTGGTAAAATATATCACAACTCAAATATGTCAACGTGGGATAAGATCTACTGTTTTGAATTATTTTATGGATCCAATACAAATCTACTTTTTTCTGTATGATATTTTTCCATTCAAGTTCCTTCGGTGGATTGTCAAGGAATTGAATGATATCAGAAAAGTCATATTTATATAACAATTTCTGATGGCTATATACCAACTATTGCTATTGTCTGGTTTGATAAGCAGCTGTCTATATGCAAGTTGTTTTTCTTTTGATCTATTATTTTGTCTGCATATGCTATTAAATAAGGTTAGACTTTTTGTATCAATTTGTGCTTCTATAGGAAGTAAACCTGAGATAATGTAGATTGCTGGATCTGGGGTATTTGGAGGTAATGACAAAATTTTCTTAAATGTTGTTTTTTGAAACTGCTCTAGTTTTTGCATATTTGTTGAGTTCGGATGTACTACTTCTAGACCTTACGTCAAGACAGGTTGGATGTATGTCTTATATATTGATACAGATGTTATCGGATCTAGACCGTTATTCCCATGAAAACAGGCTGATAGTAAACTGTATGCTGTTCTGCGAGCTTTTGTGATATTTTGTTCATTATTGAGATTATCTTATTTTGACTTAGTTGTTGAGCGAATTATTCCTAAATGTGTGGATTTGTCCAAATTTGGCATTTCTTTGTTATCAAGATTAAAATTCCAGTTGTGATTAGCTGTTTTCTTTGCTTTGTTCTCTACTTGGATAATGACACTTTTTTGAGGTTGTAGAGTATAATAATGGAGTTGACTGTATTGTAAGGCATGGTTAACCAAAATTTGTAGATCATAATTAGGATTATCACTAAGTAGTGCAATGTCATCTGCGCATGCAACGGCATTGATATTGATGTTACCTATCTTACAGCCTAGTGTCGAGTTTTCATATAATGATAACAAGTCCTCTATGTATAGTTTATACAAGTCAGCGCTTAACAATCCACCTTGTTTGACCCCTTGATATACTTTAAATTCCTGGGATAGTTGATTCTTCCATTTGATACTACAGCTTGTATTTTTATGAAGTTCGTCAATTATGGACCAAGTTGCTGGGGGTATATCTAGTAAAAATAACTTTCTCATCAACATATTTATGATGGCGACTATTCTAAAAATAACTGATTGTTGTGACCAATCAAAAAATAATTCATCGATGTAAATATAGCCAATGAAATAACTGCGAAACTTCATTAAAAAAAAATGTTTTGTTTATTCTCGGTGAAATTACGTTGGTTTTATTTTATGTTCCAGAGACTATATCAAATTTTAGATTTCTACTTTTTAAAGATAACAGTAAAATAACGCTGTCAAACACCCGTTTTAAAGGTGAAATTTATACTGGGAAAGGTTAAACTTTTGTTTAACACAGAAAGATGTGCATTGGAGATTAATCTGACTATTTATTTATCAGCTAACTGGCCACTTCTATTATGTAACCGAAGTCTCGATGTATAACTGACTAATCAAGAAGGTTGTAAAATCCCGGCACGCGCTACATGATGCATCCAATTATCAGTCGGATGAGTTTTATAAAACACCTGTGGAGTGTTGTCACTTGTCACTTCACTTTCAAAATATCGATAATAAATATTTTACACAGTTATAATTTTCACACATAGCGGGATGCATTGCGGCAATGATGAAAGCATGGCGGTAGAAATTTATGCGTAGCGGTACCGCAATGCTGGAATAGCCTAGGGAAAACACTGACCATGACAAACTAGTAACTGGTTTCCTACTTTATTCTGTTGCTTTATAATAAATATATACGATAAATTTTATTTAACAAAAATATTTTAAAAATAAAAAATTAAGAAATTATTGACCATAGAGTTCAGAAAATCATATTTGATCATATTTAGACAAACAATATTTGATTGTGTTTGAATAAACATTTTAATATATTAAAAACAAAGCTGATTGTAGTTAGGCATTAATCATAACAATCAATATTTTATCAACATAAAAGACCAGGATACAAACCAAATGAGTGTAGACTGACAGGCCTACCAGACTGTGCCTGATGTGCAGAGTCTGATGAGACTTTGGCATTGATGAAAACTAGAACCTAAGTCATGTACCTAGACATGAATAGATTCAGTTGTTCTCAACCCATATTTTTGAAAAGGATATCAATAGATATCAATCAAATTTTGTTCTATTGTTTTAATTCATTTTGTTTATTGAATCAATCTAAAATGC